ACTTGTGTGTCCTCTCCATTTCCCAACCTCAGCTGGTGCCCAACAGAAGGCAGTGAGTGCTGCGGTGTTTGAGGAAATAAAGTGAATAAACACCTTGCAAATCTGTCCCCGAGGCCCTCAGTGTCAGCCTCAGCCCTGTCTTCCTGGATATCAACTTGGCGATGAGATTTGCTTTAGCTTCGGCCAACGTCTCAGAAATGTCTAGGCTAAGTCTGGACTTTCCTAAGTTTTACAGAAACCCTCTTTTCCCTGTGCTGGTTGTTTGAACTTTGGGTGTGATATGTCATTTACAATCCAAAAGCAAGAAAAATACAGAATACTTGTAATAGTGGGGTCTAAGCTCATTTTGAAACAGAAATCAGTAATCTCCATTTTGCGAAGTGATCTGCAATGTTTTCTCAATTCCAGGTTTGTTTTGAGAAATGCAGGGCAAGTATTCAAGAAGCATCCAATTTATCTGCATTTGTTGAGCAGCTAACTGGTAGCTAATGGGCTAGTTATGGAACAAAATTTAACTAGTGGGAAATGAAGACAAATCTGCTATCTCTAACTGCGAATTCCAGAAGTGCCCCTGGGCACTTCACCATCAGAGTACCCTCGTGCTACCTCAGCTGTCCCCCAAGCCAAGCAACCCTTTGACAGGTGTGCACTGACTCAGGTCCGGCAGTTGCCACATCAGCTGGGTACTCAGGCTGGCGCCCCCTGCTGGTCATTTGGGAACCATTCTGGCTTCCGTCCTCTGCCTTGGTCTCTTCAGACTCCAACCCCTGCTTATTCCCGTAGGAAATCTCCTCTACCAGCAGCTGCGGCTCTTGCTCAGAGGCTTTGAGAGCCAGTTTCCTCATCTTTCTTCTTGCTCCTTAAATCAGTTCTCCAAACTGCATCCTGAACAATCTTTCTAAATTGCAAGTGAGATTGAAATTAAGTAGTGCCTCCAAGGCCTTTAAGCTCAGGTGTCTGACTTTGGGTCTGTCTCTGGCTGTAGCTCATCGTGCCTTTCGCACTTCAGTTAGCACTGAATTGTTGTCCTCAGGCACGTGTGCACCCATGGGTCCTGGTGTCCTGCTCATGCTCAGGTTATTCCCTGTCCTTGGAACTCCAGCTCCTCCCCTTTGTTACTACTGTAAATTGTGTCCCTCCTCCAGACTCACATGCCTGGCCGTCCTCTCCAGGAAGCCTCCCCTGAGGCAGATGAGGTAGGAACCGTGTTTGTCACCTTTCTAAGTACCTGAAAGGAACAATTAGCAAAAGAAAGGTTCATTTTGGCTCCCTGCTTTAGAGGTCTCAGTCCACAGTCAGTTGACTCCATTGCTTTGGACCTGAGGAAGTTTGCCACCGAGGAAAGGCTTGGCTTATGGCAGCTGGGACCCAAAAAGAGAGGGGGGTGGGGGAGGGCCAGGGACAAACATGGTCCTCAGGCCACACCCCAGTGACCTACTTCCTCCAGTCATGCACCACCTGACTAGGTTTCAACGCCTCTGCAGTCCATTCAAATTATTAATCCATTAACCAGATTGATCCGTTGGTGAGGTGGAGCCCTCACGACCTGATCCCTTCCCTAAACCCCGTCCCTGGACATGCTGTGCGGAGGACCAAGTCTTCAACACGTGAGCTTTTGGAAGACCTTCTAGATCCAACCATGTCAGCCCTGAGTTTCACAGCAACTTGTTTGTTTGTTGACACCTGCCATTTGGTGGCTCAATTTTCCTCCGTCCCTCCCTCCCTTCCTCCCTGCCTTCCTTCCTTCCCCCCACCCCCTGCCCTTGCCCTTCTCGTTTTGAATAGTGTCTTGATGACCTTGTGAATTGCTGGATAGGGTGAACTCTCAGGCCTGGCTGTATTTTGCATATTTTGCAATTTCCAGAACCTATCATGTTTCCTAGATGGAAAAGATTCTAAATACTTTGCTGAACTCATGTCAACCGATACGTATAAAAGAAAGGTCCTGCCTGTCTGCGCCTTGTGGTGTCAGGATGAGGCTGTGAAGTGGAGTGAGTCCTTGTCTTGTAGACGTTCTCTCACTTGACCTTCTCATGGTTCTGTGGTTCATCAGGATGGATTCCTGATCTTGGGGAAGATGACTCGGAGCATCCAGGAGACAGGGTGGGACTTGATACCTGGTACTTGTGCCACATGCCAGGCAAGGCCCAGGGCAGGTCGTCTGGACTCTTCAGAATAACCCCACAAGGTCCTGTTCCTCATACATGAGAGGAACCTTGCCCAGAGCCACCAACCCCAGACGTGCTGAGCTGTGCACAGAGCACAGTGTTCTGACGCGGCCCTGTGTCCTTCCTCTCACTGATGCAGGCCGTCTGCTACTTCCCCTTTACAAAGCAGAGCAAATTGCCTGGAGAAAAGCCTTAGCAGGTTCATTCACACGACCACAGCCAGCAAGTTTGATTGAGTTTGTGTTACTTTGTGAGTAATAACCCAAATTAAAGGTCTGTCATAGCGAATGAGATGCTGACCACCAAGGGGAAAATTGCATCTTTCAAATGATCACATGAGGAGCATTTCCCAAGGAATGTAGGTGCCGGTTCGCCAGTGTGATGCCAGCCCTTCCCACTGATGGATTCCTTCTACTGGCAATACATAATCTTTCCAGGACATCCTGATAATATTTGAAGCATGTGACATGTCATCATGCATATTGCCTTTTGCCTCGAATGCCAGGATAGAAGGGATGCATAATTCCATTAATCAGGTTTTTGCTGGTGTCTGTGGTTTGGCGCCATTTATTATTTGTATAGGGTTAGGACGGAGCAAAAGAAATCTTTCTCACAGCCACAATGCATGCACTAAGAGCCAAACTGTGCACAGGACTGTATTAGGAACCAAACAGAACAGTTGAATGGAATAATACCTACGATTTTTAGGAAGTTTTAGGATTGGAACCACTAATCCAGGTGACTGCATAGAGAATGACCAGTGACAAGGCACAGTTCTCAAGTCTATAATGCACTATGTAGTAATCCTAAGTCATTATATGCTTTCTAGAATTCCTTATTTGAGAGACTGAGGAACTTGACTGTGGACAGCAAGGTACATGGCCATAGAGGTTGTGTCCACTGCCCTGTCCGCACTGCCTGGGCATGTCACAGTCATGCAAGCACACCCGTATCTATTCTCTCCCAGAATCCTACAAAGTTTTAGGATAGAGGCAGGGCAGAGATTACTATCCTCTTTTCAGGTGAAGAAATTAAAGCCCCGGAAGTGGTTATTTTCCAAAAGCAGAGAATGATGAGCAATGGAACCCCATTGAGAAACTATGGCTTGCACCTTGGACGACTTCTGCAGCTTCTACTCGCTGCCGTCAACCGGAACAAAGGGCTCACAGGTGATTAAAATGGCCAGGAGCCCTGAGGAGGTGGGTTCCTGTCCCGGGGGGAGATGCTTGGCACACTTGTGGGGGCCACCCCAGCTCTAACAGGGAGCTGAGCCTCGGTGGCCTTGCCAAGGATGGAGCCCCAGGATGGTCTGCCCTTCTGTTGAGGTCCAAGAGATGTGCACCCCTAGAGCCAGCTGCTGGGAGACGGTGACCCATCAGGGGAACTGGGGCTTGGACAAAATGAAGGGAACCTAAGTTGGAAGAAATGACACATCCTGTCATTGTGGGGTACGTTGGGGGTAGGACAGGCACACGCCACCATTCAGAGAAATGGTTCACATGCGTTCAAAATTAGTTTTCTTTCTTGAAAAATCAGATTGGTAAGAATGCCAATTTTGTGGTTCTGTCTCATATTTTTCTGAATGAGGTAAAGTGCCATAGAAATGATTTAATAAAAGTATTAACATTAAAATGTTAATATACCAGAATGCCTTCATTAAATCAATATGTGAAAAGTGAGAAAAATATTTAGGAAATAATCACTGTATCAGAAAATAGTATGAATCGAAAATTCAAAAAAAAAATTAAGTGACTAGTTTTTTTTTTAAAGTGATGAAATGTCTATCATTTCTTCTACTTCTGCAGATATATGTGTGGGTGTGTAAATATCTATATTTTCCATTTTTTCTTCTTTTTGGATACCGGGGATTAAACTCAAGGCATTCAACCACTGAGCCATCTCCCCAGCCCTATTTTGTATTTTTTACTTAGAGACAGAGTTTCACTGAGTTGCTTAGTGCCTCACTGTTGCTGTGGCTGGCTTTGAATTCGTGATCCTTCTGTCTCAGCTTCCCAAGCCACAGGGATGATAGGGGTGTGCCCCTGTGCCCTGCTCTATTCCATTTTATTCTTCAATAGTAACAACAATATCATGTCCAACTGCACACAGTTCTGAATTTAGACCAGATGTATTTAGCTGAATTTGACCCACTTCTTGAGCTTGAGCCAAAATTCAGAGGCAGGATGGCCGTGGTCCCGAAACAGGGCGCTCTAAAGTCATGAGGAAGCAATTCCTGTGGAGCGCCGGGCAGTTTGGGAACAACGACAACAACGACGACAAAACAGGTTAACAAACAAACCAAACCATCTTAAAGAGAGAACACCATAATGTAGAGCTACTAAGGAGGAATCATCTAGAGGTTCAGACACCAGAGGAGGCGACAGGAGGATTTCAGACGAGGAGGTGGACTGGGACATTAGAATGCAAATGGTTCTGGATTCAAGGTCAACTGGCAGGGGGCATACTAAACAATGTCCAGCCGAGCAATGGGGTGGAGTACAGCATGTGGGAAGGGGTGGTGTCCATCTGGCTTTTCTCACCCCCTCCAGCACTGGTCCTCTTCTCTTGGAGCATGGTGTCATGGTGTGACAGCTGGAGGTGCACCCCTTTGTCTGCGTGTCACTAGGAACTTGCTAAGGAACAATACACCCTGTCCCTTCCCAAAGAGGCAGGGAGTCCTGGCCTAGATTAGCTTTTCAGTATGTTCAGTGAATAGATTAACAGAATCAAAGAATATCCAATCATGGCTCTGCAGTGTATTGGCTCTGTGAACCTGGAAGTCCTTGGAACATTCCAGAATTCTGCTCTGGTCATCTGTGCCATGGAGACAAAACAACACCTTTACGTATTGTTACTTTGAATATGAAGTTAATTTTCCTTTTTAAAACCAACAAGGATACTCACACTCGTAATCATGGAAAAGGTTTTTATTGTCTCTGTTTCTCAGCTTGGTTTGATCTTTAAAACAGGGCTTCCAGAGCCTAATGATTTTCATCTTCAATGAATTTTTCAGACAATATACATGAGAACTTGTCAATAGGATTGAAGGTCATTTTATACCCTTGGAAATATTAATAATATATTCCTCATGAAGAAACGTTTTCTTAGATAAAATGGCAAATGGTGTTTGAAAGCAGAAAGATCAAGAAAATGTCAGGACCAACCAGCAATTACCATGCCGCAGCCCCTGCTAGTGAATGAATCCTGAGGTGTGCCCATCTGGAAGCCCACGGCTCATTCTGTGCTTAAATCCTGTGCTCTTTCAAACAATAAATGTAGGGAAGAAAGCAAACTGTCAAAAGGGTGCTGGAAATAGCCAGAACAGCTCATAAAAGCATATAATTCTTGAGCTGTCATATTCTCTACCAGCACGATAAACACTAGAACCTCTGCCCTCTCCCAAACGTCTTGTGATGTTGTGAACTTCCTGTTGGCACTGAAGTTTCAATTCAAGCATTTTGGGACACATGTGCACCTTCCCATAATGTAAGTAATCATGTCGTGAAAAGGAATCTTTTTGAAAAATGTGTCTGAGTTAAATTCTGTGACACAGTTCTCAAGTGGGAGAGGTGTGTTTTATTTGCTGAATGTTCAAAATATAGCCTTGAACTAGATAATGAAAGGGTTTTATTTAGAA